ATACCATACTGAATGACTATATTTTATAAATAAAGAGGATAAAATAAAAGTTTTTAAAAGTAAAACTCTAGTAAAAAAGAGGCGCGGAATTTTGACGACGAAGGGATAGACCAGAAAAAAATTAACAACTGGGAATGGGGTTGAATAATTTGTTGTTGTTGTGTGTTTATCAATCATCAATCGAATGTGATTGTTGCGAGTAAACTGCTCTCCAATAATATCACTAATTTTTATTTGTTGTCACTTGATCCCGATCGAATATTATTGTAGCTTGCCACGTGATAGTCTCCCATTCCAGCGAAAGAGCCTACTGAATTTCCCCAATATACTATATATTCTAATAGTTTGAACGAAAACTCCCGTCACTGATAAGCTCTTGACATGAATTTCGTTTCGTACAGCACGCTGACAGTAGAATATTGTTTTGAACTTCGTTCCGTGGAAAAAGAAAATCAAGTCTTTATCATCGTATATTCAAGCAAATGACACTGTGTAATTTGCTTGGCATATTCTTCTCGCTCTATCCATATGTGCATAAAAGCTTTGACTTGTCTGTTTTCAAGAAGAGATAGAGACAAAGATGAAACGCTTCTTCAAAATTAATCCCCAAAAAAAAACCTGTCTCTTTAAACGTTTCGTTGATATGGAACTTCGTTGAAAAGTCAAGAAAATAAAGAATTTAATGCACGTAGTACATTTTTGTATTCATCAGGCAACAAGTCACGAGATAAGAATTCGTCATATCACAGTTTAACGAGTAATAATTTTATCTCTTCCAACCAAAAAATATGAATGTCACCGCAATGCGTTTGTTCCACTTGGCGACATAAGATATTAAGTTCTCAGAATGTGGCTCGTCTACGTAATAGGAAACAAGTAATTTACTCAGTGAAGAGACATTACAAAGTGAACACTTGTACAGGAATAGTATTTATTATATAAGAATATTTTTGCACATGTATAATTTTTTTTTACTTGTGAATATAATTTGGATCAACAATAGCCTTGATACTTTGGCACGACAGAAGAAGGAAAAAAGATGTGCTCAAATAATTCTAGGAGCGAATTGAAAAGCCAAGAAGGAAACCGAGTTGAATCGGGAATTAAAGATGGAATAATTTTGAAAACATCCCTCTGACTATTCAGCTATCGTGCTACAGCAAATACACTTGGAACTTTCCCCTTTTTCTAATCTTAGATCTCTGGATTTTTTTAGAAGCACCACAGACGGATAGAACTGCGTAAATTCTCTCATCATGTCTCTCGATTATAGACAAAGTGACTACACCAAGGCTAAGTTGTGTTTAATATTAAGCACTTGACAATATGACAGCTTTTCTTATAATAGAGATATGTATTTGATGGTTTTTTAAAAGAATCCGAACGTCACAGGTTTATAGCTTAATCTTACGGACATCTAGAATTTTCAGCAGCTTTGTATTTATAGCACGGAGATTATCAACAAGCTGAATCTTCAACTTTTGAATCATCCATAACGCGCGTTTATCAATACTCATCTCGTTTATGAAAATTTGATCAAAATTTATCCAAGCAAAGTATCTTTTTTGCACTCTTTATGCGCAAAAGTTCGTTTCATCAAAAGAGGGAATTCCCTTTTCGTATCTAATAATAAACATCAAAAAAAAGATGTAATGATACTTTCGTAGGATAGTCTCCATTTCCAAGTGTAATCAACTCGAGTTGAATCAAGTATTTTATAAACATATTGAACATCTAGATGTAGAATATAATGTTAGTGGTTCAAGTCTTTCGTTTGGCCTTCTGTTCCTGTCCGCAAAACGTAAAAAAAATCGTGTTGCATGAGCACGAGAAGCTCGATGTCGTGGTGGTATCTATTATAGCGTGAGTAATGGTGCTGATTGTGATGATGTCTGCTGAAGTTATGGACATTCTGACAGATAAAGATGGCAGCGCGAAAATATTCATAATAAAATTAATATTCATAGTTTCAGAAGTCAACAATAAATTTTATTAATCATTATATTTTTGACACAACACAATAAGTAAACATATTAACAAAAGACAAGCAGGCGTAATAAATTCAAGATATGTGAATAAAAATTATTAGAGTCAAAAACTTTGAGGGTAAGGTGGTAATAATATAGTTAAGGAGATGTTTAGTGTTCCTTAATTCGAAAGAATGTCAAAATATGAAATTCTTTCGCCTACTTTATTTAATCATCGTTCCATTCATCGTCATCATCGTCTTCTTCTTCTTCATCTAGAAAGACAACATACAAATATAGAAAGATAAAAAAGTCAGAAAAAAAATCCAATCAAAAGCTTTGATTTAAAAATAATACCAACCTGAATCGTTTCCGATAGCAATGGAGCGGGTAAAAAGAGCATTTGCCAAAGCTTTAGCAAGATCACCACCAGCAGAAGGGCTCGGTGGTTCTGTTTCATCAAACGTAGATGAGCGTGGTTTCGGCTCTCCAACCTAATAAAATATTATCATTAATAATTGATTGTGTTATGTATCCCTATTCTATTAATATGATCAAATTTACTTTTCTCAGACTGGCACCAGCAGTTCCGCCAGTTCTTTGAATTTCTTGCAACAAGTTAGCTCGACCAGATGTTATTGGAGGCACATTAAGTGAAGGCGGTGGTAGAGGGATGTCACCGCTAGGTGGTGGTGGCGGCGGCGGAGGAACATTGCCCACTGGAGGTGGTGGTGGTGGTGGTGGTGGAGCATTGTCCACCGGAGGTGGCGGTGGTGGAGGTGGTGGAATATTATCTTTAGAGGCTGGTTGAATCGATGGCGGGGGTGTAGGTGTATTAGCAACACGAGCAGGAGGAATTGGTGGTGGTTGAACTCTTGCAGGTGGAAGTGGTGGTGGTGGTGCTGGAGGTTGAAGTACAGAAGAACGTAATGGAGGTGGCACAGGAGGTGGTGATGACGGAACATTTTGTCTTTGGATGGGTGGTGGAGGTGGTGGAATATTTGGTTTATGAGTAGGTTGTTTCACAACAGGTGCAGGTGGTGGTGGTGGAGTTGGCGCTTTTTGAGGAGCCACTGGAGGAGATGGAGACAAATCACGTGTTGGAGTAATAGGTGCAACTGGTTTGCGTGACGGAGGAGGAGGTGGTGGTGATTTGTTTGGCTTTACATTTGCGGTTGTACGTGCAGGCGGAGGTGGTGGATGCCTCCTGTTAACTTTAGATGGTGGTGGTGGCGGTGCTGCTTTTTTACGAGCAGCTGGCGTCCCGTGGAGTCCACCTTCTTTTTCCACAAAGCTTTTAATAAAATCTGCATTTTTTGTGATTTGATCCTATACATTTAAATAAATTACCAATTCCATTACTTTAACCCAAAATTATGTTTATTGAGTCGTATATTTTTATTTTCACCTACCTGAGTCACACCTAATTGCCCTAATTGATCAAACAGACTTTGCCAATTAGGATCGATATTTTGCACCTAAAAATAATTTGTGTGTGTATTTAAATTTAATTAGCTTAAAAATCAACTACAATTTAAGACAAAAACTTACATCAAACCCTGTGTCGGGATTGTAACCAATATGTCCAAGATGTCTATTATTAAAATTAAAGTTGAAGAAATACATTTTATAGGATTTGAATTGATTTACAAAACAAAGGTAATTGTCGGTACCTGAAATCAGTAGGCTGCCCAATCAAGGCTTTATCAACTTTATTCTTTTTACCCTTTTTCTTTTTGGTTGTACCACCACCGAAGAAGCCTTTATTTTCATTTTCTTTTTTGCTCGATTTTGCTTTAACAATGACAATTCATAAAAATATAAAGAGTAAAATTAAAATACAATTACAAATCTTTAGCAATAAGTTAATCACACATACCTTTGGCATTAATTTTTTCACGATTGATCACCTTTTTATGGAACGTCGTAGCTTCGTTTTCATCGGCGAAAGAAAATGCGGCAACATATTCCTGTTATCGTCATCAAAATCGATCAAGTCAGATTTTGTTATTGTTATGTGGTAAATCAACACAATAACATTATAACTTACGTCAGTCGCAAAAGTGTGAAAGAATGGTGTGTCGTTGTTGTACTGAAAGTCTTGGTATAATTCTTGTTCCCAAATGACACCTCGCTCAGACTTAACGAATATTTAAATAAAGTTCAAAAGTATATACATGAAAATTTCAACCAAGAAATATCTAATGGGAAACATCGTTTTACTTACATTCAAGTCTACGATACGAAAGAAGAAAGACTTTTTCTTCAAATCCCGAAGAAATACAACTGCTCCTACAATATTAGCATATGTCCATGCATTTGGGTCCGGATAAGCAACATATAACCTGGCTACAGTTGCAGTGATAATTTTCTATAATCCATCAAAGATGATAAATTTACATAATTTGTCAAAGCTCAAGTATAAAATAATAATATATATCTCAAGGAAGCAGAGGCAAAAGCTTACATTTGCAGAAGTCGGAATCGCCTTTTTAATAGTTGGCTTGTCTTTAGCGTCGCCAAGAGTAACCGACGGCATTTTGAATCAAATTTTTTTACAATTTTGCTTTCAAATATCTAAATATCTATCCCCTTTATATGAAAATTTTGCCAAGAATCTTAGAATTTGGCATTGACTGCGGCCAAGAGTTTGACCGACCCAATTATCAATTTGATTTAATTATAGTCAACCTTGATTTAATATTTCAGAAAATATCAAATTACTTTATATAAACATTTTTTGTTTTCTAATCAAATCCCAATTATGTATAAAAATAAACAATAATAAATAACTTATATTTTTTTTAATTTTTTAATACACAAATCTCACGTTATACCTGTAAACAATGAATCTGAAACAAATGATAAAGAAGCTTCTCAGCAATTATCATTGCCTTCTGGATATTTGACCAGGGAAGGAACCAGAAGTCTTCATAACCATAACTGAAGAAGATAAAGCTCAAATCAATTCATTTAGAGATAGAATGGAAATGGATGCAAGAATGTGTATATACGCATTAAAGGGAGAGGCAGATCCTAAAGATCAAAGGAATACAGTCATCATATTCTTAATAAAGGATCCTGCTGTGATATGAACTTTTATTAAGAACATTATTTATTATTTATTG